GTACATTTAATCAATAAAGCATGCTAGCAGACTTGTTAGCAAATACAAACACACAAAAAGTTGCACTGAGCTCAAAATTTGAGTTCGAGCACTGGGCTACATATTGTGAATTTGTGTTGGCTTTTGTATTAGACAGCTATGCTACAGCCCACCATATGGTCATTCCATTAAGGGTTAATAAGTGTGTAGGGGTTCAGAAAAATATCCTTTTTCTGTCTCAGTTAGAGATTTTGAAAACAGCAAGGTAATTTGTTAGTGTAGGACTCAGGTTTGTCTTGATGTGGCAGATGAGCTTACACTTAAATGGCCGTCATTAGAGTGATACAAAAAATACTCAAGTTGTTATTATTATTATTATTATTGTTATTTATATAGCGCCAACAGATTCCGTGGTGCTTCACAATATTATGGGGAATTTAACTATAAATTAGACAATTACAAGAAAACTTACAGCAACAATAGGTTGAAGAGGGCCCTGCTCAAACAAGCTTACATTCTATAGGAGGTGGGGTATAAAACACAATAGGACAGGAATTCACAATAAAATAAGGTGGGAGTGAGGCAGAGCTGGAGTAGAGAGCAAGAGACAGGTATGTAAGGTAGAGGTTACTCTGGGAGGTCATACGCTTTCCTAAAGAGATGGGTTTTAAGGCACTTTTTAAAAGATGCAAGACTAGGGGAGAGTCTGATGGCGGTAGGCAGGCTAATCCATAGGAAGGGAGCCGCCCGTGAGAAGTCATGCAAGCGTGAGTTGGGACATAGCTATGGATCTGTGAGGAGATAAGAAGGGCTAGAATTGTTCAGTGCTTTATAGGTGTGAATTAGTACCTTGAATTGATTCCTAAAGGATACAGGAAGCCAATGTAAGGACTGACAGAGCAGTGAGGTGTAAGTGAACCGACTAGAGAGGAAAATCAGTCTGGCGGCAGCATTCATTACAGACTGTAGAGGTGCAGTATGGCTTTTGGCAAGACCAATCCGGAGACGGTTACAATAATCCATGCGGAAAATTACTAGAGCATGGACAAGCTCCTTGGTAGCATCTTGCGTAAGAAAGGGGCGGATGCGGGCTATGTTTTTAAGACTGAATCTACAGGACTTGGCAACATACTGGATGTGAGGCCAGAATAGAGTATGATGCCAAGACAGCATGCTTGCAAGGATGGACTTATTTGAATACCACTAACTTGAAGGGAGAGCGAAAGAGGAGGATCAGTATTAGGAGGAGGAAAGACTAGGAGCTCAGTTTTAGAGAGATTGAGTTTCCGAAAGTGGAAGGACACTCAGTCAGAGATGGAAGAAAGGCAAGCAGTGACACATTGCAGGATGGTAAGAGAGGTGTCTGGGGAGGAGAGATATATCTGGGTGTCATCAGCGTACAGGTGGTAGTGGAATCCAATAAGTTTGCCAAGAGAGGCAGTATAAAGACAAGATAGAAGGGCACCAAGGACCGAGCCTTGGGGGAATGCAACCAAGACAGGATGAGGGGAGGAGGTATCATTAGAAAAGAAGACACTGAATGAGCGTTGGGAGAGATAGGAGGAAAACCACAAGAGGACAGAGACCGAGTGATTGAAGAGTTTGAAGAAGGAGAGCATGAGAAGAATTAGTATGGAGTAGCGGCCTTTGGATTTAGCTGTTATTAGGTCATTAGTAACTTTGATAAGCGCAGTCTCAGTAGAGTGGAGAGGGCGGAAGCCAGATTGAAGAGGGTCAAGGAGAGCGTTGGAATTGAGTAAGTGACACGGGTAAAGACAAGTTATTTAAATGTGCAAAGGGATTTGGGATAGTGTGTGAGGATTTTTGTTATACGTTATCCCATAGCCACCAATGAAAGCAGAGTGTCGGTGTCATGGGGGATTGCACCCTACTTCACAAAGTATTCCCAAGCATGGCTATTTTATGGCTTATTATTTATTTAGCATTCACCTTTAATGTAATGAATGCACTCAAAAAAAAAAATATATCAAGCACAATAGGGCAGTGGATGTGTTTGTGTTTTTATACGTAGGAATCCAGTGTTCACAATGTCTTAGAAAGAAAATGTCAGACACATTTTCTTTAGTCATTACAGAGTACAGTGTAGTTTTAGAAACGGAGTACATGAACATGATGTCATGAATGACTTTTTTTTCCTTCCAGATTTCACTAATGCAAGACTCTAAAGACCCACCGGAATATGCAGATGTGGAACCCATGGAGAATGAGTTAGATGCTCAAGAAGAAGTAAGATCCTCTTTTCAATTCCTATGATGTAAAATATGAGGAAACAACTTGAGATTTCTGCTTCTTATTTATTTTCCCAGTCAGTAATTTTATGGGGTGTGTTAAAATCAGTTTTCCAAGCAGTGGTTAAGATAAATGTGTAAAGACAATTAAATCTTGGCTTATCTCACTAATAAAGCCCCCACATTTATATAGCAATGCTGTATCTCCAAATTTCAGTTTTATGCCCATCATTTATAGTTTATTTTTGGTGTTTTAGGAAGGATTATTGAGGTCAGCAATTCAAAACCTTAGGCCTATTGCCAAAAGAAATTTAATAATTAATCAGCTAAATTTATTTTCTGCTCTTATTCACAGGCTCTCCGAAGACTTGCTTCATGAAGAATTGCGCCAGAATTGTCTAGCTGTTGGTTAGGCAGCATTTGCCTTCACATAATTTCTACAACAACATGTAAACCTTTCCTTTTTAATTAACCACTTGCCAGTTTACATTCTAACCATTTATATCAATATTTACTATACTTGCTGCCTGTGAAGGAATTTGCCATATTCTTAGTGCATACAGACAAATCACTGCCTTAGAAAAAAAGAACATTGGCATGCCGCAAACCATACATAAAAATAAGATTTTCAACATACAAATGAAAATGGCTTCTAAATAGGAGAACTTGCAATGTATTAAATACAGTATATAGTGTTTTTTAAAATGTATTTTTATTTTACATACTCCACACACAACATGGCAATAAGAAAAGGCGATAAAGTGCATAGAAAATGGAGCTATGGGGATAGCGCTAGGCATTCAGGTTTATTTTATTAAAGATAATTGAATGTAAATTCTCAACAAAGCAGTTATGACAAAAAAATAGCAAGTTAAAAAAGCACTGCAGAATATAAGACAAAAAAGAGAGAAGTTATGAGTTTATTAATAGATTGCAAACGTGGCAACATAAAAGGCAGGCAATAGTTAAAAAAATTCTGTTGGTGATGGTTCCCCTTTCAGATGTTTGCCATAGGTTTTCACATGATATTTTAATCCAAATTGCCTCCTACTGGTTTTATAGAAACAAAAATAAAATAAGGCCTATGGGAGACTTGATCTGGGCAAAGGTATTACATGCAATCCTACTTGTAGCTAATCATGACATATTACCTTTATGGGCTTATACTACACAGCAGTGCCTTATTTCATAACAAACAAGAACTGAAGTTTAACCCCTTAAGGACCAATGATATGCTGGCATGTCATGACATGAAAGGATTTGACTACCCTAGTCCTTGGGTGGGGGAGAGATGTTGTTTTAAGTCTCCTCTAGTTATGGGCCAGTTTCCAGGTGATTCAATCTACAGCAGTTTTCCTACATAAATACCAGACAGACATCATATTAAAGGTGGGATTAATACCATTGTAATTATTCTTTAATTTCCTTGAACAGAAAAAAAAAAATCCAGGCACAATATGTTGTATGAACCGAATATCTAAACTGCATAACTAAATACAAATACTTTTTAAGATCCTAAAATTGTAAGTACCTACACAAATGCACCATTTTATATAGCGTTCTGTCCACTAAAAAAAATATTTATATACATATATTTTAGGTTCTTCTTTATAATTATTTATTTTCTGAAGATTAAATCATTCGTCTATAAGTCTTATGATGCATTTTATCTAATGAAACTTGTGACTGTGAAGAATAATTTTAAGAACCTTTTACTATCTCTTTGGTGTATTGGTAACCAAAATGTATCTTGTAAATTTTAATCGATGTTAAACCTCTATGTATGCTGGATTATTACTGAGAAAAAGTATTCTTAAGTCTTAATTTTTTTGTATTTACTAAACAAAGGGAAAAAAGTAAATATATTATTTTAATTGTATTAAAAATTACAAAGGTGTAGCTAACTGTACATGTGACTATGCACTTTATAAAAGCATTTAAAATAAACGTTAGGTATCTTCAGGCACTGTTAGTGATCTTTTCATAATTGATACATACATAAATTACACGTATAGTGTACTACAAATTAAGTAAACTCCCATGGGAAATAAATAAAAGGTTTCATGTGCTAAGCAGTCACATGGAAGAAAAATGGTCAGTGTAAAGATATGCAGTGTAAGAGAATATGGGTGAAATGAGATTTATCAAAATCTTCTGTTCTAAAAACGTTCTAAAGTACTAAAAGTGCAGCAATCACCATGGAAATCAGTGGAACCAGCAGGCACATTGGGGACTCCTCCACTTTTACATGTTTGGAACACATTTTACAACAGATTACTTTGATACATCTCCCATTCTCTTGTGTCATGTACTGAACAAACAGAGAAGCACATCATGTTCAAAAACAAACCTTTTGGCTACATGGAACCAGTCTAGGAAAAGCCAAGTATAAGTACAAGTATAGATCTTCACATGTGTAGCAAAGTTAGGTAGTCACCTTTGCAGTGCCAGCACAATAATTAAATGGTATATGAATTTCAATCAATTCGTTGTCATACAAGGCACACTCTGGCATTTCTCATATCTCTCTCAGTGACCCATGTACAACAAACAACGATGGTAGCAATATGAAGAAATCAGGTCTCAAGTCCATGGTCCAAATCTGAACATTCAAAAGCATATGTAGGTTAATTCCACAAATAACAGGGCTCCCAGTTACTGATCCTGTGGGATTTATGCTAACAGGCTTCTGCTAACAGGCTTCTGTAAGGCAAACATTCTCTGATTTAAAAAAAAAGTCTCAGTGTCTAGCAAGGGAAAGACACACTATTTGGGACAATGACGCTCGTAAGGGTTTTTCGAGAGTCTTTTTTTTTTTTTAAACTCTTTGCGTTTTTTTTTTTTGTTATATGGTTGTATTTGTCTTATATGTTGAGCGGATTGTGCGTGGCCAACCTGAGGAATTATGTAGCATAGGGAGGATTAATGTTAGAGGGGAATAAGATTAGGATTATAACTTTGATTGTTAAGGGTTTGAATACTGCACAGAAACGTAAGCTTTTAGTAGATCATTTATGGAAAAAGAAAATTACTGTTGGATTTATACAAGAAACACACTGGAAAGCTGGAAACTCAAAAATGAAAAGTTGCTATTATCCAACTCTTGTCTCCTCAGATTATAGCTCTAAAAACAGAGGAGTTGCAATCTTTATTTCAAAGAATGTAACTTATAAAGAAGTGGATAAGAATGTGTTCTTGATCTGTGAATTGCAGGGGAAAATCTACTCACTACTTAATATATGCTCCAAATAAACAACCTGAAAAATGTATTAATAACATATTTACCAAGTTTGAAAACAAGGTACAGGGGTCCTTTATAGATGGAGGAGACCTTAACTGTGTGGTAGATGTATCAATGGATAAAAAGGTTCCACAAGAAAGGAAACAACAAAATATCATTAAAAAAATTGGTTCTGCAGAATGTCATATCTAAATTTAATCTATATGACATGTGGAGAGTAAAACATCCTGATGAAAAGGAGTTCACTCTTTACTCTAAACCTCACTTGTCATATTCTAGAATAGATTACTTTTTGGTTACAATACAGTTAATTCAACAATGTTACCTAATTAAAATTGAGGATATACCCTGGTCGGACCATTCGGCTGTGATTATGGAAATAGGATTCGATGCTAATGAACCACGATCACAATGGAGGCTGAATGAGAGATTATTTTCTGATTCTAAAACTATTGATTACATGTCGGAGAGGATTAAATTATACTATAAAGAAAATATGACAAGAAATCTCAAAGCAAGTCTTATGGTGTGCCTTTAAGTGTGTAATAAGGGATTATAGAATTAAATTGGGGTCTAAAAAAAAGGCTAATATCTCACCGATATTAAAATCTGATAAGGACCCAACTAATATGGTTAATTACCGGCCTATATCTCTTATAAACTCAGATATTCAAATTTATTCTGCTGTCATTGCAAATAGACTAAAATCAATTATTCCATCTTAAATGCAACACGACCAAATAGGTTTTGTTCAGAATAGAGATCCAAGTAATAACACTCGAAGATTGACTGCCCTGATTGATTATGTAACAAGGAGCAAGATCCCTATGCTGGCCCTGTCACTGGATGCTGAGAAGGCGTTTGACAGGGTCAGCTGGAGTTTTATGAACCAGACTCTGGACAAATTTGGATTTGTTGGCTCCATTAAAACTGCAATAATGGCTCTTTATTCTAGTCCAACGGCTAAAACCGTGGGCCCTGGCATCTCCGCAGTTTGGTTTACAATTTCTAACGGGACCAGGCAGGGATGTCCCCATGCCCCACTTTTATATATTTTGACTCTTGAACCGCTCGCAGTGAGCATAAGAAACAACTGTCAAATTAAAGTAGTTATTCTGAATCATTGTGAATTTAAGATCAGCCTATATGCTGATGACATGATATTAACATTGTCTGATCCGGATATATCACTAGGGGCCTTGTTTCGGGAGTTGGAAGACTATGGTAGAGTTTCAAACTATTGGTTAATCCCAAGTTATGCCCATCAATTTGGATTTTATGACAATTAATAGATTATCAGTTAAATATCCCTTCACTTGGTCATCACAAGGTTTTAAATATCTATATTTCTCTTATAGCTTAAAAGAAATGATCGATAAAAACGTGGATTTTAATTTCCTGGTTGGGAAGAATAAATATCATCAAATCATATATTGTACCTCATTGGTCATACCTGTTCAGAATGATTCCTTTATCTATAACAATAACTACATTTAGGCAGATTCATAAATTATTTCTGAATTACATATGGGATTATAAGAGGTCAAGGATCTCTATCTCACATGTAATGAAAAAGTCCAGTAAGGGTGGCCTGCCTGTCCCAAATCTTATCAATTATTACAAAGCCTCTAGGCTGTACCATCTGTGGAGATGGCAGGGTCCAACCACAATAGAAGAGCCTTGGTATAAAATTGAATCCTTTCTGTGTAATTCAAAAGATCTTTCTAATATGTTATGGATTGACGTTGGGGCTAGTGCAACATTCATCTCCAACATAGAAACTTCATACATAAAAAGATATCTATGAAATTTGGGTAAAATACAGGAAAATAAATCACATTTTAAATAAAATTTCTAAGTATAGTCCAATTAAGACAATGGAATATAATATTAATGACCTAAATTTAGGTAATTGGGTCAAATTAGGTACAACTAAAATAGATGGATTTATTAGAATTGAATAAAATAAGGTCTCTCTCATATCTTCAGTTAACTCTTGACCTTAATTCAAGAGAGTTATTCTCATACCTAAGAATCAAAAAAATTTTGGATAACCATCTGCTTTATGACAACACTAGGATAAATAAAAAAAATTAAATGATCTATTTAAAAATAATACTAATCGTAAATTGATATCTAGTTGGTATGAAACATTGAGAGAGGAAGAAAAAGAGCCTAAACCAAAAGCCTGGAAAAACTGGGAACAAGAAAGTGGGTCTCCAATAGAGTTAGAGCAGTGGTATAGATCAATTCAAGAAGTTAAAAAAAATCATTGCATTGTTTAAATATCATAGAGCTCCATTGTAAAATTCTTCAATGGCATAGGGTACCAAAAATTAGCAGATTCGGAGAAGCGTAGTCAAGGAAAGCCAAAGACAGGGGAAGCCAGAGATCAGAGTAGTCCAGGAGGAAAGCCAAGGTCAGAAGCCAGAATCAGACAGGAAATACTGGAACGCTGATCAGGGCCGGTGCTTGTATTTTTAGGTACATAGGCGAAGATGCATTTTTCCACCCCCCCAAAAAAAAAATCTTCACCTATGTGCCTCTTAACCAGCCCCTCTCCCCTCCCTGACCATTAGTGGTCCCTTCCCTTCCCTGTCCCTTGGTGTTCTTCTCCCCTCCCCCCTTTTTTCCCTGTCTCTTGGTGTTTCTCTCCCATTCCCTCCCTGTCCCTTGGTGCACCCCACACCCCTTTAGTGGTCACACTCCGCTTCCTGGTGTGCCTCCTACCTCTATTGTTGCATTGGAGCTTCAGTTTCCTGTACCCGGCTGGACTGACAGGGAGTGCTCTCTCTGTGAGCACCTCCTGTCAGTCTGGCCAGGTACAGGAAACAGAAGCTCCTGTACCGCGCTCTGCTCCACTACACTCTGTACACACTGACAGTCACACACTCAATGACAAACACACAGACGTCGCTGACAGACACAGACTCATTGATCTGACACACTCATTCATTGACACTGACAGACCCACACTGATTGACACTCATTGACTGACACACTGATAGTCACACACAGACTCAATGACCAACATACTCTCACTGATTTGACAGACACACACTCATACACTGACAAACACACTCATCATACACTGACAGACACACTCATACACTCACATGCACACACTCATACAATCACTCACAGACACACAGACACACTCACTCACACACACACACACACAGTCACTCACAGACACACACAGACGCACACAGTCACTCACACACACTGTCACTCACAGACACACGCTCAGTCACTCAGACACACACACTCATACAATCACTCACTCACACACACACTCAGTCACTCAGACACACACACACTCAGTCACACACACACGCTGTCACTCACAGACACACACACGGATGCACAGTCACTCACACACACTGTCACTCACAGACACACGCTCAGTCACTCAGATACACACACATACAATCACTCACTCAGACACACACACACTCAGTCACACACGCTGTCACTCACAGACACACATCACATACATTCACTAATTATTTTATAAATACACATTTTCCACCCAGCCTCCCTACCTGGAGATCTGGTGTGGATGATGTACCTGTCCCTGGGGCTGCTGGGCGGCGTGCGGCAGTGCTGTGATCAGGCGCGGCGAGGGAGCTCTAATCTCCACCCTCTGCTCCCTCGCGGGCTGCCTACTGATGCCGCGGGCTGCCTACTGATGACGTCATATTCCGGCATCAGTAGGCAGTGCGCGAGGGAGATTAGAGCTCACTCGCCGCGCCTGATCACAGCACTGCCGCGCCGGGGGTCGAGATGGTGGCCTGGCAGGAGGGAGAGCTTCCCTCCTGCCGGTCACTTAAATATTGTGCCCCCAGAGCCTGTGCACCCTAAGGCGGCCGCCTGTGCCGCCTTATGGACGCGCCGGCCCTGACGCTGATACAGAGAGACAAGACCCAAACAAGTGAACCAGAGTCAATGAACTGGACATAAAAGCCTGCCTCACCCTTTCCAGGGTGAGGCAGGCTTTTATATCCAGCCAATCAATATGGGTTACAGGTGTGCTAGAGCAGCCACGAGTAAGTTCAGCTCCCAGTGTTGGAAACAAGGCAAGGACACCTATTACTGCACTACTATGAGTTGCTGGATAGCTCAGTGGCAAAAGAGCAGTGACAAATCGTGACAAATACAAAGCAAGTTTTCCCAGGATGCATTGCACCTTGGAGGTTTATAGCACCACCCTGCATGCTGAAGCCTGGGGGTAGCACATGGAGGTGTTGGAGTAAAAAAAAAATAAGGTGTATAAAAATTCCACCATGAGACCTGTAAAGATAAAAAAATGAAGTTAGCTAAACAAAAACAAACAAAATTTTATATATGTGTCAGTGTATGTATGTGTGTCTGTCTGTCGGTGAGTGTTTATGTTTAGATGACCAGTCCTCCTCTGATAACATTGGAATGGTGTTTTTACTTCGCTTCATTTCCACGCCAAGCCAGTCTCCCTGCAGCTGGCCCCACCTCTATGGCCGAGATCACCAAGCTAGATTATTTCAGCCAATCCAACGCTTTCCCATAGGATAGTACTGGGAAACTATTGAGCAGTTGCTGCAAAATGCTGCAATCAGCATTGAATGAATTAGCCAAAGTTGAATCAGCATTGCAGGGGTTAACCAACATAGAAGGCAGATTCCAGGCAGACAAGAGTTGATGCAAGGGAATTTCACAGATGAGGCTAATCCACTTAGTTGAGTCAGGAGCTGGCTCTGTACTCCATGGGAACATCAAAACAACTGAGCATAGAACCAAGGGCTGTCTGTGCTTATATAGGAAAAAG